CGCGAGGCCGCGTCGCACGCACTGTCAGTTCCGTTCAGTTTCGCTCGGATATCCGCGCCACGAGAGTGACCTTCGCGTCCGAGGACCGGCTGCCAGCCAGACCGTCGCCGCCGACACGAGCAGAGGCAGAGATCATCGCACCCCAATCTCCGGAGTAGAGAGGTCGTCGATCGTCACTGAGAGTGATCAACGAACGAGGCGCTGTCACGCGACTCGGGGACGCTGGAGTGTCCTGGAAGCGGTGAAACAGGAGAGACAGACACACCTGCTCCTGGGAAACGGGAAGGAAGCCGCATTTCTCAGCCAGGATCTAACTGTCACCCCCGTCGCCGGGGGAAAGTACGCGGAGAAGAGTGCGCGGAGGACGGTAGCGGGTCGATTTCCCGGTCGGCGAGACGCGTGTTCGTATACTGCCGGCACCGCGACAGGTCCCCGTGCTCGCCCGTCGGCCGTCGGCGCCGAGCGGCGATGAGTGACGGCGATCGCACTGCGATTTCGCCGAGAGTGCGATAAGGCGAGGAGCGGCGGCGAGGAACAGGAGGAAAAGGAAGAGCGGGAGAAGTTTGAGGAAAGCAAAGAAAACGGCAACGGGAGGAGGCGAGAGGATTTCAAAGGAGATGATGCGCGTATCACGCCCCGTCGGCGCTTTTCAATTACGCGGATCTAGATCGTGAAGCTATTAGCGAATTAAGCGGGCCGAGCGAGCGGGAGAGCGAAGGAGAGACGAGGAGAGAGAGAGAGAGCGAGAGAGAGAAAGGGAGAGAGAGAGAGAGAGAGAGAGAGAGAGAAACCAAGCGGGGACTATGCGGGTCGCCGAACGCTACAGCGAAAAAGGAAAGTAACGATCGCGCCGGCGATCGCGTCGCGATGAAATTGTGTCAGGGTGGACTGCGAGTCGTGAAGTAAACCGTTGGAATCGCGTGAGCGACAACAAAACTCTGCCATGGGGCGCGGAAACGGGAAAAAGCCGGAGCCGTCGACTCGGCCATCGACGACCGTCGACGTCGTCTTCTGGTTCTCTTGACTCTCTCTCCCTCTCTCTCCCTCTCCCTCTCTCATACGCTGTTTCTCTCCTATCTCTCTCTCTCTCTCTGTGTCTGTCTCCTCCACCCGTTCTCCCTCGGGCTCGCTCACTCCAGCAAGCGCTCGTTTCCGGCACGTTGCACCGATCTCCGCGGGTCAAGTGCGAAACTCGCGCGCTCCGCCACTTTCGCGGCACCGGCGGAAGTCAGTCGATCGACGACCGTCCGGTGGTCGTCCCTCAGAGTCGATCGGGACCATCGACTGCGGCGGATCGGACCAGCGGCAGATAGATCATCGAGCAACGCGCGCCCCGGAACGACTATGAGAGAGAAACCATGAGGTGTCTAATGCTGACCCTCGGTCTGCTGGTCACGGGTGAGTCGTGTTGTCGATCAGCCGCGGTGACACATGATCATTGAATTTTTGGTCGGCGCGCTCCAATTAGCAGGGAAGCGGGGGCAGAGCGAGCGGCTCTCGTAATTTGCGGGAACTCGATCGTAAACGCTTTCAGCCAGCGGACTAAATGGCACGCGGACCAGATGTATAAATAAATGAAAGGATTATTAATAGATGAGAAAGAGGGAGAGAGAGAGAGAGAGAGAGAGAAAGAGAGACAGAAAGAGAGAGAACGCGTGGGAAGAGGTGGAGTAGGAGGAGGAAGCGGCGGTGGAATATCGGAGGGTAGTTCGCTTCGTTATCACACGGAAATATCAGTTTCACCGGGCGGTTATCGTGATCAACCCGCCCAGTGTAACTCATACACTCGGCCGGAAATATATTCGCGAGAGAATATATCCGTGGAAGGTTCCTCCGAAGCGCGCGAACGCCGGTCGTCTTCGAGGGCGCGCGCGAAAAAAATTGCGGGACGCAGGGGCGTGAGAAAAGGGGATGATCGGGCTTCGCGAATGTTCCCTTAATTCGGTCGCGGAAAGAGCAACATGTTGTGCTCTCGGAGCTGATTTTAGTAGGCGGCGGGGGGTCCCGTTAAAATTAACACGGCAACCCTGGGACATTAATATCGGCCCGTCGTGCGGTAAGTTTGAATAATTTATTGTTCAACTTGCCACACGCGCGCGCATACATACACATATACACATACACGCATGCATATTGCGTAATAATGAAAAACTGTTAAGTACCGCGCCCGTATTTCAGCGGTCGTCTGCTGCTAAAGCGGTCCTCGACTGCCTGCATCCCCATCGTATTTGCTCCGAGGTATTTCCGGTTCGATTAATGTGTGATACATCGACGGTAGTAAACGCGGATTTACAGGAGTCGAGCGCGTGTGCGACAAACATGCAAACATCAATTACATTTTCTTGTTTTTTTCAGGAAAAGAGAATGATGGATTAAAAAAAAAGACTACAAGTTAATAGCGTTAATTTACGGATCGCGTAAATCGCCTTTCTTTATCTCTCCTTCTCTCTCTCTCTCTCTCTCTCTCTCTCTCTCTCTCTCTCTCTCTCTCTCTTTCTCT